AAGGCCCTTACCATGAACAAAAAGTCCAAAAACATCAGAGTTGGATCATCGAGAAAAGGCCACCAGCTGTTCCCGGTTGTCTTTAACAATGCATCAGCCTGATGGCAATTCATACTCCATCATGGAGCTCAATTTCCAAAATGTGCTGCCAGACCTCTTGATATTTTTTGTGGAATTGGCAAGTGCTGTTAGCTTCTGTTCTGAATCGCACCAGCAGCCAGGCCCCTGCATTACTCATGCCCCCGCAGTGTGGTAGACTCTGGCCTATTCATTTTGGTCCAGGATGTGAGTAATGGCGCTGCCATTCTCTGTGGCCACAGGGATATTTACCTTCATCATGTAGAAACTCCTGAGTTCAAAAAATGTAAGTCTTTGCTAACTTTGTCTTGTAGAAGTAGTCATTTAAATCGAAGCAGCAGGAAAATACTATTTCACTTAATAAAGCAATCAATGTTAAGCCTGGTTTCATTTGGAATTTAATTCTTATACAATCTGATGTATGTTAGTAAGCCGCATCCTCAGATGACCTTATATCTGCAGATTCCTGCTGTCCATCACACTCCCACCCTCCATCTGCATAACTGCTGTGTCTCATCCTCTCTTGCCATTTAATCAATGCAGACTTACACACGCAGTCTTCTCGGTAGAGGACGACAAATGATTAGCAATCATTTTGTTTAGGCTGCTGTCGGGGGAAATCTAACTCTCGGGGTTAATGTCCTGTACGACACGAGGTGAGCGGAGGAGGAGGGATCTCCCGGCTTATGTGCTGATCAGCACTTTGGGTTATCCCTCTGCCGGTGATTGATATTAAGTAAGGTGCTGCTGAGGTGGGAGGTTCACTGTAATTGAAGGCAAATTATTTTTGAGAGGAAACTTGATGTCGAGCTCAGGTTTGTGCTGTCAGACTTATACTCATCACAGATAGTCAACATGCTTAATGCCACAATTCAAGGAGGAGAAACAGAACAATAGTGCTCTGTTGGTTCCAAACAAGTCCAATTAGATAGAGTTTCTGTCAATTTATAGACTATTAAACTAAAATTATAAAATGAGTTATACTGTAGCTCGTAAGGTCAATCTAAAATCCTTCAGGGAATTGAAGGGAAAGTGAATGGTAAACAAATATTTTTTCTTCTTTTGTCCCACCACCTGCTGTAGTTGGCGGTGAATTGTTGTTTTATAATGAGAAGAGGGACACCATTTAAGTAAAGCAGGTGGGCGAGGTGTTACCTCCCATTTTACAAATGGGACAGTGGTCACCAACCTTTTTAAGCCCAAGATCACCGACCTCGGCCTAGGTGAAAGGCGAGATCTACCTATTGCAGAATTGAGAGAAAAAGACGGCCCAGACAATGCTTCCAATTTGAGGCCTTTTATATAGGCTAATTGCATCTGAATTACTGTAACAATGAAGGCTCCATAATCAGCTCACGGCATATAGGCAGGGGTAAAGTGCTATTGGGGGGCGGACCTCACCTCCTCTAGGGGGATACTCGCCCGGGAAGATTTTTTTTAAAATATTGAAGCTGAAAGCATCAATCTGGTGCACTTTGAGAGCAACATAAAGAGATCTATGGATACCTCTCTCAGCACCCATATGAAACAGAACTATAGGTTACTTACGTAACCCCAGTTCTCAGAGTAACATGAAGTGAGATGTCTCACTATGGGATGCGCCTCATCGCGGAGCAAACAGAAGCATCAATCTCATTACGCCAATCCTGATTGGCTGGTGATCTTGACGTCAGCGTCAGGGAATCCACCCCCTATAAGTAGCTTGCGCTACGCCGCATGCGTCATTCAAAATAAGCACCTCTTCTCGCTTCACCATAGCAAGGAGGGCCGTCTGGTGAGACATCTCACTTCATGTTACTCGCACTGAGCCACACTAAAAATAATTAAAGTAGTCACTTCCCTTGCGATTAAACCCGTAAAGATTTGTGTTCTCGAAAGCAGGTGCTAGTTGTCAGATGTACCGACGAGTACGGACGTAGGTACACCCAAAAACTCCCATATTCTGCCCCAAGGCCCGGTTGTAGGAGACCCAGACGACGCAATACTTCCCTCGCAACCCGTCCGAGGAAAGAGACAGTCCAGGTGACCACGGAATCACCCTGCGACTGTCACCCAACAATCTAGCCCGAGCTGAGCCTCGGCGTAACTTGGCGCGGACTTTGACTGTCACCTTCGTGGACAGTGAGCTTCCTGTCACGAAAATGACCGGGACCGTACGCGGTTCGCCTCAAGTCACTTAAGCTACGCGATAGACATGTAAGGAAAGTACGTGAGTCAAGCGAGGCCCGCAATTGCTCTCACAGCACGACTTCGCGTTGGGACGCGAAAATATGGCAATGCCTCACCCAACCAGTACATGGGGGTAACTGTAACTCTAAAGGAGGCGGCGACACGGGAGCCCCTTGTCTCGGCTTAAACGATAAAAGCTCAACACCTGCACGAAATGTGTGAATATACCCCTGTCTAGTTTTCTTAAAGAAGTATTACTGGTTGAGAAACAACAGGACCCTATTGGAGTCTTCCCGTTCCGTGACAATGATTCGTTGCCGAGAGAGTGACCTAACACCCGCCGTTGAACGAAACCGAAGGTGCTCAGTCCCAGACGTCCGTGCGAAGCCCAAGCACGAGTAAGCTGAGCACCCAACGATGTAGGACCCAAAACAAGTCCCACAAAGGTAGGTTCTGTAAACACGTCCGTCGCTCGACAGGAGCGGGCGAAGTGAAACAAGGCGAAAATGTCTAATCTGCAGAGACGAAGAGGTCACAGCCGGTACGTATGACCAGGAGACACCTCAATCTCGAGAATTGGACAATTCAGAAGACCAACCAGAACCACTGAAAAGCCTCATCGAGCAAGACCGTTATGCCCTCGATCTTATAGGTATCACTCTGTCACGCTTGCCTCACAATACTCTACTATTGATATTCCAATGAAATGCATTGG